TCTGACTATAGATCCCTTACACTGAGTCCTGAGAGGGTTTGTTCTGGGGGACAAAACAATAGAATTTCAATCTCCTGAGAATTGCAAACCTATTGCAGTAATGTCCTCAGCAATTAACCTGCATTCTGACTATAGATCCCTTACACTGAGTCCTGAGAGGGTTTGTGATGAAGTAATAAAGTAATAAGGTATGTAACTCTGCTAGGGGACGGAGTGGAACAATTAGCTAGTAGATTCATTTATCAAACAAAATGATTCTTTCTCACCTAATTAATATAAATTTTATTATTAGCATTGTAATATATAATCAATATACTCGTAAATTGCAAATCTATATACAGAGGAAAAGGGGGCTTGACTTCTAAGTCTATACCACAAGTATTGAACCTATTATTCTTTCTTAGTTGTCAGACATAAACATACATACATACAGTTTTATATCAAGTAAATATTAAAATACGATGATTTGAAAACTAGGTTTATCATAATAATTTATAGAATAGTTTTAGATTATCACCCTCGAAGCATACAAATTTATAAATAAGCCTGAAGCGAGATGACGTTTTACCCCCGTCTCTAGACCATAATCCTTTTCACATTGCTTTTGTATTTTAATTATGACTATTGTTCCTGTATTCTCTAAGGAATCAAAAATTTTAATATGAAAGAATTTCAAAAACTATTATGGTATAGAGTCGGGGGTAAAACGTCATCTCGCTTCAGGCTCATTGCAGTGAATTTTGAGGCCTAAAAATATTTTAAAAATAGACCTCTTTACCTTGGGCGTAATGTTTTTTTCATTTCAGACCACGTGTCATTCTCTTGAGAAGAAGATTCTTAGTTTGAGTTGTGTTGAATGTTGGACCGTTCAACAAATGATTCTCTAGGAAATGACACGTGGTCTGGAATGGGAAAACTTTACGTCCAATGCAAGCAGGAAGGTGATTGTGCCACACCTATTGGCAGATGTCTCATTGCTTTATTCGGAAAGCGATAGTCTTGAGTTCATTTGTTTTTCAACAATCCTTTCTCTACTTGACATATATGTAAGCAGTTTGCGCGTAATCACCAAAATGATTCTTATACGAGCTGAAGTGAAGACTTTTGGTAACCCCAAGGGTGTTGTGGCATCCCTTGGGGTCGTTGCAACTAGACACACCGATTCCAATCGCGTAGTCATCGGGATTACATCCGGCAGGACTTCGTGGAACACTCGTGTCGCCGATGCATCCAATACGGACGATGTGTGTGCCTGGGTTAAGGTTCGGGTTGGATTCAAGGTCACAAAGGTTGCCAAGGTTCAGCCCGCACCATTCCTAGAAAATATAAGGCAAGAAGAATAAAAGACCAGATTAGAAGCCAGGGCCCGGTTGTACGAATCCTGAATAGCGCGCTATTCGGCGGATAAATCCTTATCCAGTGGATAAAGTGATGCTGCATGTTATCCAATAAATTTATTCATTGGATAAGATTTATCCGTCGGATAGCGCTATCCAGGCTTTGCACAACCGGGCCCAGTAAATGGAAGAGGAAACACTCAAGAATGCGAACGTCCCTCGTTTAGCAATAGCAGAAAAAGTTTTGACATATGTACTGGACGGGTAAAACTACTTGGGGCTCAAGTTGGAATGGAGAAGAAGAAAAACTATATAAAAAGAAGACAATGAAAGGACTAAAAAAGAAAGCGAGAAAGAATGTATGAAGCTGTATGATGCAAAGAAGAAGATAGAGAAGAAGAAGAGGAAAGGAGAAGGAGGAGGAAGAGGAAAAGAAAGGATGAAAAGTTTTCGGTAAAAAAAAAAAGATGATGCTAATGGTGGTACTGGCGATATTGGTGTTAGGGCCTTTGATAGTGTAGTATTGAATGGTGCCAATATCTGGCAATATGATGACGAAGTTCATCGTCGTCGATCATGACAATTCATTATGACAAAAAATTAGATCACTTTGTCAGTTTAGTCCATACCGTTTTAAGGTGTCCCAGATCCAAGTGTTTTCCAAAGGTTAGCATCAGATTTTCAAAGGTATAAGACTCGGTGGTCTGTACAGCAAACTGTGTCGCAAAGAAAGTCGACAAAGTTAAACCTCTGTTATGTGTAAACGTTGCGCAGTGGCTATTCGGTCCACTGAAACAAACTCTGATTGCATTATTAGGAAGATTGAACCAGCCGGCATTCTTCATGGACGAAGGATCTTTCAGGTCTGCTGCTGAGTTCGCGTTTATCACCAGGTCGTCATACCATCGTTGACTGTTTGGCGCGAAATCTGACGACAAGCCAGCGGCACGTGCAACTAGGGTCCAGCCTCCTGAGTTTTGACTGGAGCAGTGTGATGAAAGCATCTCGCAGTGTGTCTGAAATCAGAGAAAAATAAGTAGCGCACTATATCTTTTTATAAATTAACTGTTATAAATCTCGCGTTCTGATTGGTTGAGAGCGCGTTCTTAATGAGAACACACAGCACGTGCGCGCACTTTCAGTTGCAGCATTCCTATCCAACATAATGGTTATTGTAACTCGTATTTTATAAAAGAAATAAAAAAACTTGCTTACTGTGCTGTGTGGAGTTATAAAGCACTTGGGGACTGGCAGAACACTCGGGAAGTGACGCATCGTGCTTCTCCTAACACTTCTCTCGTGTCCTGCCAACCCCTGCGTGCTTTATAACTGCACACAGCACGCGCGCACGTTTTCCATTTTTTCAATGGTGTTTACCGTTACCGTATCTAGTAAATCTTATGATCGGATATGAAGTGAGCGCAAATATGTATATATTAAAAGTCATGATCATTTTATAGGTTTAGGCATCTTGTACCACTTCACTGCTTTCTGATTATTCAAATTGGGTTCCAAAAAATCTATTAATCTAGAACTGTGATGTTCGAGATATGAGGAAAAAGGACATATTAAATAATTTGAGAGATGAGTGTATAGGTCTAAAGATATCGCGCGCCAAATTTATTGAATTCTAATGCATGCGCAATTCTGTGGCAATGGTATTTTGATGCTTTTATGCTCGTATTTTGTACATAGAAATACGAAAAAAAATATTTGCACTACAGATGGCGCTTTCCATGAGAATGACCAGGACATAAGACATGGTCGCCACTTTTGTCGACTTAACGAAGGAAGTCCTCGCGACAAAATCTTTTCTAGTACGATTACATCAATGACTTCACATGCTCCCTAATAAGAATATGTTCTGTTCGCGTAACTACAACAAAGCAACAACATTATTATTTCTTACCTTGTAGGGTGGCGTGGCGGCCAGCCAGTAAGTACCGGTTTTTGCAGAAGGGTCTGCCTTCATAAGAGCATCACAAGAAGTAGCTGGATGACTCCTGGATCCTAACCCACTGCACGGTGCGCTGGAATAGAGATGGCAATATCGTGTCATGACAATACGAATAGCAAGTACTGTATCAAGGTATTACTGGCTGAAAATATTCATCTAAAATAATCAAATATATTATCCATTGCCATTGTCTCTAACACCAGGTTTCCCCTGTGTGTTTGACAATTGGCTTTTTTCACGCGGCAGCCATGTTGGCTTGAACAATAGATTCCACCACGCGTGGCCTCGCATTGAAGTGCTTGAGAATAAATTCATACAAGAGTAACAAGGGTTTTTATTCTCATGAGAATCACATGGCCACCGTGCGATGAGATTTATATAGACCTCTTTAAGGCCATGTGTCACTCTCTTCAGAATATTAGATCATTTGTTTGAGTTGTTTCCATATTCATGTGTCGTCTCRCGCGTAACCGTTAAACAAATAAATGATCCTCTAACTTTTGGATGTATGGAAAATAGATTATTGAGTAAAGAAATATACAGATAGATTACAATTATAATAAAGGTTTAAAAGAGGCGGTACTTTATAAGGAAAGTAAAAGCATTTTCCTCATTTTGGTTCTTTTTCACATTATTTCCAAACAAAACCAATACGTATGATAGGTCTCTAGATGTCTCATAAGATTTTTAAAATGAAACTGATATTACGAGTACTAGTATTTCAGAATCGACCTAACACATTTGAATGGCAGCAGTGAAAAGCCATTACATGCAGTTACTAGCTTTTTTATGCACCGCGTGTAATTTTTGTCCTATCATAGAGTAATAATGAGGTGTGCGCGCATCAATAATAGATATATTATAACATTCGCTGTCTTCGGTTTTATTAAAATTCAACTCCAATAAATATCAGATATAGTTTTACATTTTTGCCATCATCATTATCTATCCGATTATTCAAAAATCAATGAAAACATTTTTTACATGTACTGACTTATATATTCTTCACTGTAGCGTTTAATTTCATGTACACAATAGTGTAAGAACGAAAACATATATCCTCTCATGCCATTGTTATAATTTTATTTATGTTTACTTAACTGCGCAAGCTTTTCCGACATTCGGTACAATTCGTCTGTTAGCTGTTAAGGCTTTTATTATTATTTTTGGGCTATCCGTCATCAATTATTAATAGAATGGATACGCGAGAAATGGGTTAGCTCCTAACACATAAATCTTAGAAAAACTTTCTCCCATTTGCTTGAAAAAAGTCCAAGATCCCATTAAAAGGAATGCCCAAACATCCCAAGTCCGTCCATTTTCCTCCAATCCCTCAGGTATAAATAATGAATTATGCTTTGCGCAGATTTCAATTATTCAAGCCTATTCTTCTTGCTATCGTCTTCAGATGCCTTCTACCCGTTTCACGGCCTGAAAAAAATAGCAAGAAAAAAAAAACTTAAGACCTCTTCTCTTGGAGTCAATTTTTATTGATCAGTTTTAAAATTTATCTATTAGATATGGGGTATTAAGCATCTGTTAAAATGGCATCGGCGTAAAATTACCTGTTAAATCTCCATTATTGCAACTTATTATTATATTAGTACATACATTGAAATAGCGCAAGTTCCGCACACTTATCTCTCACTTTTGCGCAATATCTCCAAAATGTCCTAATTCTTCATTATTGCAATCTATCATATGTATTAGCATATACATGAAATTACGCAAGCTGTGCGCACTTAACTGTTTGAGTTCTATGCACTGACAGAATGTCTCTGAAGTTGTCGCACTTGTCCAAATTGGAGAAATGCGATGGGCTACCAAGATATACGAGGTCCATATTTTAAACTATTGCAAAATAATATACTATTGTGGTTCGTTAAACTTGAATGCGCGCTCAGCCTTTTTGTTTCATAAAGATTCTTATTGCTGAAAAATAGCAAAGAATTAAAGTAATGCAGCGCAAAARATCAACTATTGCCTATGTCAAAATGTTTATATTTTTTGTTGCAAACAACATTACACTGCTTAGACTAACGAATCATTACGTGTGAGGCAACTTTCATATACTTTCCTGGTGTCACGAGTAGCAAATTACGTTTTTAACGACTATACCAAAGCATTAGTTGCGAGATGGCAGGAAACGTTTGCGCAAAAAATGTAACAGAAAATAAATATATTTTATTTTAGGCAGAGCGTTGAAAGCGCAGCATAAGTAAAGCTTGACATGGCCACTGTAGAATCTGCGCGGACTGATTTACAGTACTGCACTATTAGCAACTCTGAACACCTAAAATATGTCTGGAATGTTAAACATCGTGTCCTGACCAATCACTTGAGACAGTTGATTAGAAATGAACTCATTCTCGCATGCGATTGGTCAGAACACTATGTTTAACATTCCAGATATATTTTAGGTGTTCATGGTTTACTTAGTTTGACTGTAAAGGAGCTAGTATCCCCCGTGACAACCAATAACAAAATGCCATACTTACGTAGTAGGAGGATAGGTATGATGAGGATGATGATTACATGTATGGTGAGGTTCGTGAGGTTTTGTAGGATCCACGCCGCTACACTTTTCACAAGGCTCACTTGTCGTTGGAATTACAGTCGGYTGAGGTGATCCGCAGTTACACGGAGGACAGTCGCGTCCGTCTCTTCCATCACGACCGGGAACTCCCTGTCCTCCACTCGGTCCGGGGGGACCGGGGGGTCCTGGTGGTCCAGGCGCACCCAAGCAGTACATAGGCTAACAGAAGATAGTATAACTGGTGAGTTTTTGTTTTTCGAAATATTTTTGCAATGCATGCATAATGTGTCTTATTTGATTTAATCTTCGTTTTGGTTTCTTGATAAAGATAGCTAGCGTTTTATACTCATTTAAAAAAGGTTAGTCAGCAAAAGTGTACAAAGATGAAACYGCTGAGGTTCACGGGTAACATGTCATATTCAGCAATAAGAGACCACGGTCTCTTAAATCATTTCAATGAAGTTAGTCACCAAAAATGTGCAAAAATGAGACCGCTGAGGTTCACGGGTAACATGTCATATTCAGCAATAAGAGACCACGGTCTCTTGAATCATTTCAATGAAGTTAGTCACCAAAAATKTGCAAAAATGAGACCGCTGAGGTTCACGGGAAACATGTCATATTCAGCAAGTAAAGCTTTTGATACAAGCTGCAGGTTGAGGATACTCAAAGGAACGGAAACTGGAACTGGAAAAAAGATCTCAAGTCCATCAATTGAGGGTTTTCAACCATTCCCAAGAGAATTAAATAACAAAAGACACGGCGGCCATTTACCGATAATCCTTGCCGGTCTCACCTTTGTAGCTTTTTAGGTGACTAACTTTGAAATAAGTATAAACAGTATCCTAACAGACTTATAATAGCTATAGGTTTTGTATGACGGTAAAACAGCAACTTTACACGGCACGGTCACAAGAATCAATTTCCGTTGAGTCAATCAAAGCTCACGAGATCACCATCCTCATCTATTAAAAATAACCAAACGCGTCAACCCCAACGAAAATATGCGCACGGCACGGTAGAGTCATACGAAATATGCTTTAAGACACCATTTATAATTTCAAATATACCAAGAAGAAAGGCGCAAAGAAAAATACCCGAATGTAGCAAGAATAAAACTGACGTCCAGTAGTAATATATACCCTGAGTCATATTGTTTATGTTTAAGGTTGGCGAAGAGGAATGTGCAGTAATACACGATGACCCTACAGGTAGATCTGTCAATGGGTCAGCTGACACGAGTGTTAACCGCAGTCATGCGTCCAATCAACAACTGAATTCCTTTCTTTAAAAAATTAACGGACAATTTCGTTAATTTTTTTTCCACCAGCAACTGCCATTCATTTTACAGTTTGAAGATTGAAACAAAGTAAAAAAGATTGAAGACATTTTTTGCTTAAAACGTGTGAAATAACGTGAATAAAACTTTGACAAGAGAAAAGGAACTTATGGAAAAGAATGAGTAGAAAACCATTCGTTTTACGACATATTTGATGTGCTAATAAAAATCTTAAAATGGAGTGGTTTCTAAATGTATCATACAGTTAATATATATAAATTTACTAGATCTATTAAACTTTTTTAACAAGATCATCAAACTAGCTACCTTTTGTTATTTATAATGACTTGAAACTGTGCCAAACGATGTCTTTTTCAATTTCTGCGATCTTGTACAACGTTATGTGTTTCGTAAATCACATGGAAAATCCTTCTTTTAAGCGTTTTTCTCATCATATGTGTAACCTACCTTTCCATCCTTAAAAAGAAAGGATCTTCGAGAATGGTTTTCATCATCTTGGTGTTTTTGTTTGTGACCGTTGCAAGCCGCAAAGGCAGCTATCAAGATAACAGTTATAACTAACCAACTCTCCATTTGAACGATAGATACTTCTGGTACTATACAAGAACAGGACTGCTAATTCCAACTTCTAAGACGTGAATTTGAGTGCGTGTTGAAGCAAAACCTGTCTGAAGCCCAAAAGAAAACGTAACCACCTTGGATAACTTTATAAGGGCGATCAAAAATTTCCCTGCTGGAATGACAAGTTATGAGAGAACAGGTAAAACTGGTATTTATTGTGATCCTTGAGTGAACCTCAGTGTGTTCGCTTGTTTGTTTTTCTGTTTATTTAAGCGGACCGGTTCAACTTGAACCTTACCTGCTAGTCTTTGCCGAAAGAATGTGAGGAATGTCTTGATATGGTAAATTAGATCTTTAGGTTTGCTCAATTTTTCTCTTGGGAAATATGATTTMTTTTAAATTTGGAAACATGGCTTTATGCTACAGGGAATGGGTAGTGAAATTTTTAGTCTGGTTGTCAAATATCAGCGGAACTGTATTTTCCCATCAACTCGAGAATGCGCTTTACTGGTCTGGAAAAGAGACCAGGACGTACATACCTCACCCCACCCTCTTCAGGATCATTACTCTTGCATGTACTAGATTCTGTCAGGCTTTTTAGCCAGCGGGCTAATAAGCTGCTGAAGGTTATTTAATTTTTACTTGTCATAAATTATTAGCAAACAGAATTTGAGCTACCGGAAGTCTAAAATCGTCCAGGACTTGGTATATAAACCCTGTTTTTATATCTAAACTCACTAGAATATACTGTTTTGAAAAGGGAATTAAAAGGCAACACAGATATGAAATAACAGCAGACATTTCCTAACGGCTGCCTAGGACTCACTAAATAAAGAAAAAACCTTTTCAGGTCAGACAAAATTCTGGAAAACCACGTTCAAAAAAACTTTATAGTTGGGCTGCCTGTTGTTTTTATATTCACTTCCGGTATTGCGCATTCGACTATCTCTATACAAATCACATACTGCTCACATACTGTCAAAAACCTCGTCAAAAACCTCTTCAAAAGTAAAAGTGACTTCCAGGATCGAAGAAGTTATTTATCAGGGGAGTCCAGGTATATATCGGAATTTGGAAGTAAAATGGCGGATGCATCTGTAAAATTTGATGCAGCAAGCGGTCCCGAGAAGAATGAAGTGAGAGATGACTCAGAAGCCTCTACAGGAAATAAAGTGATTTTGCTTGGTATGAGTGGAGTTGGAAAGACTTCTCTGTTTTTGCGTATCAAAGATGGCCAGTTTAACAGTGATACAACAAACATCAGAACAGACCAAGCAATCAAGAAAACTATCCAAGTAGGACAAGAAACAGTTGAGGTATTTCACCTAATTTGGCGCTATGAAGTTCTTTACATTTATTTCAAGACTTATATATTATAACAACAACAACAACGTTTTATTGTACCTAGAATTACATTCATATTTACAAACAAAATTACATAACTATAAGTACAGGCCCTAACTAATAACTATAAAGTTAAAAATGCGCTAGGACCATTTAATTATATATATATATATATGTATTATATATGCAAATATTAAATTTCTCAAATTGTTCATTCATTATTGTTGTTGTGTTGTTGTTGTTGTTGATGCTGTTGTTGTTGTTACTGCTGTTGCTGTTGTCATTGCTGTTGCTGTTGTCATTGCTGTTGCTGTTGTCATTGCTGTTGCTGTTGTCATTGCTGTTGCTGTTGTCATTGCTGTT